AAGAACCAAGAAGGAAATACATTTTCAAATTTGGACTAGGGGCGACCCTAGTCAAATTCAATTTTGTCACTTTTTTCTTCAAGGGTTTATCCAAATGGATTAAAACTTTGCATAAATATTTTAATGCTTAAAACAAATACAAATAAAACATTCTAAAATTTTTTCGATCAAAGAACCAAGAAGGAAATACATTTTCAAATTTGGACTAGGGGCGACCCTAGTCAAATTCAATTTTGTCACTTTTTTCTTCAAGGATTTTTATCCAAATGGATTAAAACTTTTCATAAATATTCAAGTGCTTAAAACAAATACAAATAAAACATCCTAAAATTTTTTTGAGCAAAGAACCAAGAAGGAAATACATTTTCAAATTTGGACTAGGGGCGACCCTAGTCAAATTCAATTTTGTCACTTTTTTCTTCAAGGGTTTATCCAAATGGATTAAAACTTTTCATAAATATTCAAGTGCTTAAAACAAATACAAATAAAACATCCTAAAATTTTTTGAGCGAAGAACCAAGTAGGAAATACATTTTCAATTTTGGACTAGGGGCGACCCTAGTCAAAATCAATTTTGTCACTTTTTTCTTTGAGGGTTTATCCAAATGGATTGAAACTTTGCATAAATATTTTAATGCTTAAAACAAATACAAATAAAACATTCTAAAATTTTTTCGAGCAAAGAACCAAATAGGAAATACATTTTCAATTTTGAACTAGGGGCGACCCTAGTCAAAATCAATTTTGTCACTTTTTTCTTCAAGGGTTTATCCAAATGGATTGAAACTTTGCATAAATATTCACGTGCTTAAATAAAAAACAAATAAAACATTTTAAAATTGTTTTGAGCAAAGAACCAAGAAGGAAATACATTTTCAATTTTGAACTAGGGGCGACCCTAGTCAAAATCAATTTTGTCACTTTTTTCTTTGAGGGTTTATCCAAATGGATTGAAACTTTGCATAAATATTTTAATGCTTAAAACAAATACAAATAAAACATTCTAAAATTTTTTCGAGCAAAGAACCAAATAGGAAATACATTTTCAATTTTGAACTAGGGGCGACCCTAGTCAAAATCAATTTTGTCACTTTTTTCTTCAAGGGTTTATCCAAATGGATTGAAACTTTGCATAAATATTTTTATGCTTACAAAAAATACAAATAAAACATCTTAAAATTTTTTGAGCAAAGAACCAAATAGGAAATACATTTTCAATTTTGGACTAGGGGCGACCCTTGTCAAAATCAATTTGGTCACTTTTTTTTCATAAATATTCTAGTGCAGAATTGTCAATTTGCGGTGCTTGGAAAACTACTCCAAAACTGGCTTTGGATAGATTTCTTGAGCTTCCTCCACTTCGAGTGAGAATCGAAGCTGCAGCTCAAACAAGTGCATCCAAATTGAAGGTTAATAAATTATGGGTTAATGACTGGATTTCTACAGGTCATATGGAATTAAATCGATTTCTAAGGAGTGTAAGTTTATTTATCTTAGAATCGGATGATATAGTGTCAAAATACGTTTTTGACAAACCTTTTAAGGTAGTTGTATCAGAAGATAATGCTGCTGAATCTTGTGATTTGGTGGAAAGTAATTGTATGTCTGTATACACTGATGCATCAAAGTCAGAAAGTGGTGTTGGCATCGGTCTGTTCAGCAAAGAGCTGAGTTTGAATTCATCCTACAAACTGCAAGATCATGCTTCTGTCTTTCAGGCAGAAGTTCAAGCTATTTGTGAGGGTGCTAATTACTGTTTGGATATGGATTTGAAAGGCTGTAAAATTTGCTTTCTTTCAGATTGTCGATCAGCTTTGACGGCTTTAAACAATTGTGTTGTGAAGTCTTTAACAGTTCTTGATTGTATTTCTTGTTTAACAGCATTGGGGCAAGAAAATGAAGTCATCCTAAAATGGATACCTGGACACAGTGGTATTGAAGGTAATGAAACAGCTGATCAATTAGCTAAAGAAGCAGTACACAAGGAAGATTATGACAAGTCGACATACTATGGTTTTGGCTTGTTGAAGTCAAACATACGAGAATGGATGGAGAGACAGCATTTTCGTATCTGGAATTTAGAGGAAGGAGCCATGACAGCCAAAAGACTTCTTGGTCCTAAAAATAAGAATAAAATATCGGATGCTCTCAGACTACCAAGGAAAGACCTTAGCATCTTAATTGGTGCTTTGACAGGACACATGAGTATCAATAGTTTTCTTTTTAAATTGAATTTGTCTAATAGTAAAATTTGCAGGTTTTGTAATGTGAATGAAGAAACAATCATTCATATACTTTGTAAATGTAGGTCATTACGAGGACAACGTGTCAAGCATTTTGATGAGGACTATTTGAATGATGAGGATATAAACAAGCAGCATTATCAGGACATTATTGGCTTTATTAAGGACATTGGAATTCTAGCATAGGGGACTTGGGATGGTACAACAGATCATCGATCGCAGTGCCGCTTTTGCTATTAGCAAAACCCTTCATCACATTCTATTCTATTCTATTCTTCTAGTGCTTAAAACAAATACAAATAAAACATCCTAAAATTTTTTTGAGCAAAGAACCAAGAAGGAAATACATTTTCAATTTTGAACTAGTGGCGAAATCAATTTTGTTACTTTTTTCTTCAAGGGTTTATCCAAATGGATTGAAACTTTGCATAAATATTTTAATGCTTAAAACAAATACAAATAAAACATTCTAAAATTTTTTTGAGCAAAGAACCAAATAGGAAATACATTTTCAATTTTGGACTAGGGGCGACCCTTGTCAAAATCAATTTGGTCACTTTTTTTTCATAAATGTTCTAGTGCTTAAATTAAATACAAATAAAACATCCTAAAATTTTTTTGAGCAAAGAACCAAGAAGGAAATACATTTTCAATTTTGAACTAGGGGCGAAATCAATTTTGTCACTTTTTTCTTCAAGGGTTTATCCAAATGGATTGAAACTTTGCATAAATATTTTAATGCTTAAAACAAATACAAATAAAACATTCTAAAATTTTTTTGAGCAAAGAACCAAGAAAAAAATACATTTTCAATTTTGGACTAGGGGCGACCCTAGTCAAATGGATTGAAACTTTGCATAAATATTCACGTGCTTAAAACAAATACAAATAAATCATCCAAAAATTTTTTTGACAAAGAACCAAATAGGAAATACATTTTCAATTTTGGACTAGGGGCGACCCTAGTCAAAATCAATTTGGTCACTTTTTTCTTCAAGGGTTTTACAAATGGATTGAAACTTTGCATAAATATTCACGTGCTTAAATCAAATACAAATAAAACATCCTAAAATTTTTTGAGCAAAGAACCAAATAGGAAATACATTTTCAATTTTGGACTAGGGGCGACCCTTGTCAAAATCAATTGTGTCCACTTTTTTCTTCGAGGGTTTATCCAAATGGATTGAAACTTTGCATAAATATTTAAGTGCTTAAAAAAATACAAATAAAACATCCCAAAATTTTTTTGAGCAAAGAACCAAGAATGAAATACATTTTCAATTTTAAACTAGGGGCGACCCTAGTCAAAATCAATTTTGTCACTTTTTTCTTCAAGGGTTTATCCAAATGGATTGAAACTTTGCATAAATATTCACGTGCTTAACAAAATACAAATAAAACATCCAAAAATTTTTTTGAGCAAAGAACCAAGAAGGAAATACATTTTCAATTTTGAACTAGAGGCGACCCTAGTCAAAATCAATTTTGTCACTTTTTTCTTCGAGGGTTTATCCAAATGGATTGAAACTTTGCATAAATATTTAAGTGCTTAAAAAAAATACAAATAAAACATCCCAAAATTTTTTTGAGCAAAGAACCAAGAAGGAAATACATTTTCAATTTTGAACTAGAGGCGACCCTAGTCAAAATCAATTTTGTCACTTTTTTCTACAAGGGTTTATCCAAATGGATTGAAACTTTGCATAAATATTCTAGTGCTTAAAACAAATACAAAAAAAAACATCTTAAAATTTTTTTGAGCAAAGAACCAAGTAGGAAATACATTTTTAATTATGAATTTGGGACAGGTCTAGTCAAAATCTAGTTTCATACTTGGTTCTTTGCTCAAAAAAATTTTTGGATGTTTTATTTGTATTTGTTTTAGGCACTTGAATATTTTTGCAAAGTTTCTGATTCGCTAGCTTTATACCTTCACACTTATGCTGAGCGAAGCTCAGCTGACTCGATAGGTTTATCCCTTCAAACTTATGACTCATCAAGCCTTATATCTTCAAACTTATGCTGAGCGAAGCTCAGCTGACTTATTAAGCTTTACACCTGCAAACTTATGCTAAGCAAATCTTTGTCTATCCATAAAACTCTTGTTTTTAAAATTCATTTTATCTAAAATAATGAAAATCGTTCATAAAATATTTATTCCTTTCAAAATTTAAAAAATTTTGGAAAATTATGTCTTTGGAAAACTATTCTATGGAATTCTAGTAGATAGTAAATTTACCCGCATGAAAAATAAAGTTTAAATTTGACAATTTTATGAAAAGTAATTAAATATGTTACAACTTTTTTTACATGATCAATATTTTGTTGCAAAATGGTGAAAATTTATTTATTGTAATGTTATTTAATGTTTTGCACAAAAGGACAATAAGTCCACTAAGAAATATAGGTGAATTAAATATCTCACTGTGAGGTAATAAGTCCACTTACGATTTCAAGTGATCTAATTGCCTCATAGTGAGATATTAAAGACGAATCCTAAAAATGTTGCGGATTTATTAACTTCAAGTGAAGACAAAAATCCCACACACAAATGGAAGTGATTTTTTTACCCGCACGTGAAAATAATTATTTCACCTTAAATTTTAATTTTGTCTAAGTGGACTTATTGTCTTGCAGTGAAAATATTAAGACCATTTGAACAATTAAAATTTTATAAGTGGCCTTATTGTCTTTTTTTTAATTTTTTTTAAATTTTAAAAGATCAAGCTAATAAAGTTAAATGTAAGAATCACAAGATCTCATTTTAAATTTTTTATTTTCTTTATTTCATTGTTGTAAGAGAACCAAAAAAGTAAATTTTAAATGTGTAAGAGTGTAAGGGTAAATTGTTGCAAGAAAAAAATCCAAAAAAAATAAGAAGATATTTTATAATTCTTAATTATTTTATCATAACTTTTATATTTTGATCTTTACTAAAGTTTCTATTAGAAACATTAATGGATAGCTGTTTTTTGTTGAAATGTTGAATATAAGACGACAACAAATCATCCAGTTTGTATCCTTGAGTCGTTTCACACAAAAGCTTCGTGCCACCCATTATATTCCCGAATGTTATTTGAAAGTATGTATTTCCAGAACTCCAAAAGCTTAATTCATTGTATGAGTATGATTTCAAGTTGTTCTACAGGAAAAATAAATTCATTTGTGACATTTTTAAATTTAATTGTTATTTAAAAACAAAATCATAAATGTCGGAGGTCATAAGCGAACGACCCCTAATGTAAATCTCTGTTTTTTTAAGTCTCACTCGAGATTCCCAATATATCTGAGAACCAAAAGTCAGATTTATTTATGTGCATGCGGAAACATACCTTTTTAGCATCCATAATATAGAATCCATTTCTATTAATCGCTATAAGCAATGTTGGTGGAAAATGATTGATTGTTTTTTGATTTACAACAAAAAATGTAGATCCAAACATATCTTGATTTTGGAGAAATTTAAGAAATTCTAATTTACATTCACTTTCGGTCATTTCTGTGAAAAATGAGAGAAGTTAAGTTCGTCAAAATATAGTACAAATTTATAAAGACCTATTTGTTTGGAGTAAACTGATAAAATTTGTTTTTTCCAATCATCAGTTTTCTGATCTTTACTTAAATCTTCTGGTACAAGTTGATTGATGAGACCTTGAAGGTGTTGAAATTTTGTTTTATCATTTCCAAAATAAACTCGATAAATTAAAGCACCATTGTTGACTGCCTCACTTTTTGTAATCTAAATTTTAAAGAGGAAAATGTTTGTTAATAATTTTTTAAAAGCAAGCAATCAGCTTTAGTGACACATATGTTTTATCATCTAGCCATTGATGATGTAGCTTGATTATTACATTTCAATAAAATTAATAACCTTGTAGTATCCATTCAAATACTTTGGCAATTCCTGATAGAAATAGAAGACATCATCTGCAATTGGATCATATCCAGGTGTAAAGTTAATCCACATTTTTTTCAGGAAAAATAACTGATAGTGAAGCTGAATATGTTGTTGATCGACTCTTGAAGGCATTTGACTCTTGACCCAATCAATCAGTTCATAAATGAAGTCGAAGATATAATAATCTTCTGGAACAGAAATAACTTTATCAGTTATTTTTACAAACAGGCTAAATCCTTCACTTGACTTCATTTCAAAACTTTTTGATATTTGCTCAATCAAATCTCTTGCTTTTGTAGATGATTCAATTTCAAAAGGTTCTTCTGTGTCATCTGGGAAATATATTTTATGATAAATATGAATTGATCGTTGCCTGATTGATTCAATTTCCACAATATATGGAGGACATTTTCTGTTGCCTTTCTTTAAAGTTTTCTGAATTCTTTGAAGACATTCTTTTGCAACAGGATGAGGTCTTGTCTTAAGGAATTCTTGAAGTTCTTTCAAAAGGAGCTGTGTTGGTGACAACAGACCTGTTGCAAGCCACATTAAATCCCATCCACGTTCCTCACTTGAATTAATATTATTTTCAGTCAGTTGCTTCATAATTTGACAGTATAATTCATCCCAAAGTGCTTCATCCTTCATGACAATTTCAAAGACTTGTTCAGCGTGCGAAATAGAATTTTTTGACTGAGGCAAATCTCCCATGTACTTCATAATGCTAATAAACATTTGAACTGCTAGATTGGATCTATCACCTTCACCTTGAAGTTTCATTAAAAGTGGTGATTTTATTGGTTCCCGTGAATTGCACCATATTTCACGGTATTGTCTTCTGAATGTATTTAATGTTCCATACATATTAGTAATTCTAAGGAAATGAAAGTTGTTCATTTAAAATAAGTGATCATTTTGAAAAATTTGATATATTAAGCTTACTCAATGTTTGGTCTAAAATGTTGCTCTGCAAAAAATTTAAGAGTGTGCATCTTCTGACGTTGTAAAGTATTATATTTGCTTCTGGGTTCTGCAACTTTTTTATGACCGTCTCTAGCATAAAGTGCAATGACTTCTTTATTTGGTGGTTCAATGCATGGAAGAATCATAATAGAATCTATTGGGAAATATCCTTTTTTATCTTTTACTTTTCCAGTAGTCCACATAGAGGTTGAGTTGGAAATAGTTTCACCTTACAAGAAATTTGTAGATTTTTTTTAAAAATTATAATTTAAATTAGATCAGAGGTCTGTCATAAATGACATCCGATATTGATTAAAATTCAATTAATTTTACCTGTTTGCTCCAGCATAACTAAATCACCCCTTTTCAGTTCCAAATAATCTTCAACATTTTCATCTGTCAATTCCTTCACAAAAGAACGAATAGCTACTGCATAAGTTGACTTTTTCTTTAAATGATTTAATAGAAAATTAATCCATTTAAAAATTATAAAAGAGTCGTGTGATTTGAATTTCAATATTTCACTAGCTATAGTGATTAATGTAAATGTTGCATTTGCATTTGTTTCTTCATTTTCCTTATAAGTCACATTTGAGATTTCAGGAAATGATAACTCAAGCTAGAATATAAAATTATTTTAATTATTTAATGAGATTCAAAGGTTTTATGAATTCTTAAGCTCACTAAAACTTGCTCCTGGCTATCAATTAGATAAACTCCAGTACAATTAATAGCTAATATAAAAACATTGTCACCAGTATCGGAAGCCTCGTCCTCAATTTTCAATACTTCGAAAAATCTTGAAAATTTCAAAACCCAAGTGATTTTTGCAAAGAACACGATGTCTTCTTTAGCAGCTATTGCTGGTAAATTATCACGAACACATCTGCTTCTAATGAAAGAATTTGCAGCTACTACTTCCCATTTAGATGCAGTTTCTTTTCGGTAAATAGATATTGGAAGAAAATCAGCAATTTTCGACATCATTTTTTCTTTTTCATATTTTGAACCAATTTCAGCATAATAACGTAATGCCAAAATCATCGCTATATCCTTTTCTGTTGTACATGCATAATCACCAGAATGAAAACCTTTGACAAGTTGATGGTAAATTAAATTCGTTGAAACGGGATCTGTCATTGGGTTGTACCAAGGCGTAAACATTTCCTTTTGTAAATATAATTGCCACTTGACATTTTTTTCAGTAATTCCATGTTCTTTTGCATATTGTTCACAACGAGATACCGCATCAAATACAAATTGATGTTCACATCCCAAAGACATTACTTTTTTTTCAATCGTCACAAAAAGGGAGAATCCCAAAAGGTCTTTTAAATGTATAGCTTTTGCGACAGCAATACAAACTTCATTTGAAGTCGAAGACGAATCTATTTCAACATTTATAGATGTTTCATCCATTAAGTTAACTGTTACGACAATCGGTTCAGTGGACTTAGATGAATGCATTTCATGCCATGATGGTGGCTGCTTTCTTACACCATTTTGAAATGTTCTATCCAATTTATTTTCACAATATGGTGCATACAATTCAGGACCGGTTCTTATAAATTGTCTTAAATAAGGTTCAAAGTTTAATGAAGGTGGAAAGCATCCAATGCATAAAGCCATAAGAATCCATCCTTTTTTAAATGATATTGATGTTGGATTATTGGTAAGTTGCTTGCAAATTTGACAATATATTTCATCTCGCAATTCTTCACGTAATATCCCATGCCCTACAATGAAATGCAATTTATCAAGATGACTGCTTCGCATGTTTATCCATTCTTGATATTGCTGCAAATCTTCACTATTATGTACAAGTTGCATAAATTCACGTGATAGCTTATTTTTATTTTTTAAAGTTGCATAAAGAAGTTTACGTTCAGGATGTTTGGTTTGTAGAATTCCTTGAAATTCTTTTGTTAGTTGTGACCTTCTTCCTAATGTTGAAGTTATTTTTTGCATTACATTTTGTCGTGAAAATGTCTCCTTTTCTATATCTTCATATTTTGCTTCGCCCAAGTCACCCATAAATCTCAATATTGTAATCCATAAAGCTTGAGCAGATACTTGCATCATCATTGGCAAATCCAAAAGAGAAGTCTTGATAGTTCTCTTGCTGAACTGATAAGAGACATTTGTTAAGAAATACGTCGCCGCAAATTTTTGAAATGTGTATGCTGACAAATCTTCTTTTTGGAATTTTTCTCCTTTTTGCATAGATACAACTTCATTGTTATGTTGATTACTTTTCAAATCATCTGTGCTTGTTCCAAAGCTCTGAATGAACAGTTTTCGCATTAATTTGTGTCATTTATAAATAACTTTAATTTAATTACATTCGTAAGAATTGAATTTATCTAAAGTGCGATTACTGATTGTGTCCTTGTGTATCAGTGAGTGCTTCATGTTGTGAATGAATCTCCCCCCATGATAACATTGAGATAAATTTTGCTTATCACTTCACCAAACAAATAATTATTAATTAATTCCAATAAATTCCATTGATCGATCAAACATGCCGAGCATAATGAAAGGAATTCTTTGTTCTTATCTTTATACTTATCTATTTAAGACTTAGGTATAGGAATGTTTTATGATAGCCATGTATGTACCAAAATAATTATAGAGAATAAAAGATTTTGATATATCAGTTGACATTTAGTAGCTACAACGATTAGATGTTTTTTAGATCTAGATGAGACCACAAAAAATATTAAACATTAAAAAATTGTTCTACTCCTGTCATAATTTTGAGTAAAATGGTTAGAAATGCATTGATGATAAGAATAAAATTTAATGAAAACAAAAATATGGAACTAAACGTTTTAATTACTTTAATTTACATAAGTTGTCTCTTACTTTGATTGGCTCAAACGTTCTCCGCCGTGGACATATGAATACTATACTTAGAACCAAGGTGAAGATCAAAAAACTTCCAGTTTGTTATAAATAAAGTATCTTAAAGCCCTTCAAGCGAACAACGTATAAAATTGTGCCAATCGAGAAACTGTTTTAATTTTGTGGATTAAAATTACACCAAACGACCAAAACACAAACATGGATGTCTGTAAAAAATAACAATTTATTAATTTCAAATCCTTAAGTTCCAACATTAAAATAAACAACAATTAATAATTAAATGATGTGTGGCAGTAAGAAAATGATGATTAGTCCTTGATATACATAAATGTTTTTGTACACGTGTAAAATGTAATTGTTACCGTTTATTATTATGTTATTTAGCTATAAATAAGAGTCATTAAAGACGAGTTGTTGAATCATAATAATTAACAGGCCTAGATAAGAGCTTTGATGGAATGTGTTTAAGGTTCCGACTTTTTGCTTCGAGATATGAAATCATTTTGCTTACTTTATATGATGGAGTGTAAGTTGTTCGAGGCTTTGCAACTGGCGTGGGAAGTTCTGTTAGGAAACTAAAGACATCGTCAACTAATTTATCTTCCTCTTCAATGCTCATTTGGTATTGTTGATTTGATTTTCTTTCTGTTTCTATTTTTAATTCTTTATTTAATGTAGAAAGACGTGTAAGAAAACGCATCTCAGCTTCTTGCTTCCAACGAGGATGATTTGCCTTTTTAAGCTCTTGCTCTTCTTGGACACGTAATCTTCCAAGTTCAGTCATTCGTTGTGATTTTTCTGAAATTTTACTCAACAAGTTTCTACGGGTTAAGAACCCTCGACATCTTGCTTGAAGACAAATGTATGAATTTCTCAAATTATCGTATCGATTTGCATCTGCTTTTGAGTGAATTGCAGCTTGTAGACGTTTAAATCCACGTTGCATAGTAAGAAATCTTTGACGTGGTGCACGAGCACGCCAGTTTTTCTGAATAACAGTTGCGGCATTTCTGTATCGTTGCATAAACTTTTTAAATATCAATCTTCTAAATCCACGCTGAATCACAGCTATTGCACTCATATAAATATCATTTCTCATAGTTTCAAGAAGCATATCGTGCTGCTCTTTTAAGAATATTTTAGTTTTGCCAAAAGCGTAATTGGGCATTGAGCTTAAGATTTGTGTACAAATTTTATTTGCAGCTGAACGGAAATCTGATTTTGTTGTAATCCCCTTTACAAGGAATCGATAACGCGTTACAAAGTCTTTATAAGTATGTCGAATAGCAAAACCAGCTTTTCGTATTTTGGCTGTTTCCATCATTCCTGAATAGCGCAATTGTCGAACACAAAGAGGCTTATCTAATATCTGTAAACGATAAGAGTTCATTTATTGCTTAATTTTTAATAATTGATTACTCGTAGGATGTTATGATACTTACATTTGGTCGTTGTAGCTCGTTTGGTTTAATGCATCTTACAAATGAAGGATCGCAAGCAAGGAGTGTCTTCATCAGAGCTTCAAGTGAATTTCTAAATTGTAATGACAAAGTAATCGATTTCTTTGATGTATCTAAAGCATCATCTGCCGAAAAGAGGCTCAATAAAAATTTGTTCGATGTTTTCATAATCAATTCCTTCAAATCATAATTGAATGAGTCTCGGTTCTTTTCAAGAAATCCATTTGAATTATAAAACACATTTCCAGCATAATGTTGTATGCCAAATTCACTTGAATCTTCATATTTTGGCTTTACATAAATCGTCTTTGTACCATGTGTTGTATGTAATTTAGCAACGAGTGTTGATTCTGAACCTTTTGGAAAGATTGTCTCTTCATTTATCAATGCCATTATGTTCATTGGCTTTAATCCAATCATATCAAGGATCTCTTGATTATCAATAAACTCAATATTTTGCCAATCAATTCCTTCATTTGTATATTCCTCCTGCTCGAGTTTGAAGATGTATTTTACAAAAAATTGTTGTAGATTTTCATTTGCATAGTTAATGCAAAGTTGCTCAAAACTATTTGATCCAAAATTCTCGAAACCAAATATATCCAGCACGCCGATAGAACACTTCTTTTTTATTGTTTTGTAAATTGTTTGGTTAATTTTCTCAACAATCATTACAAAGCATTTACCATATATTGCTTTTACAAATGCATCACGAGCTTCAATAGCTTGTTCTTTGGTTAAACTTGATGTAACGCGTTCACCATGAGCGAAAATTGTTTTCTGTAGAAGTGCATTATTTAATAGTTGCTGTGGGACTTCAAGAACTCTTGCTATCCTTGCTATGTTCAAACTATCAGCAATTTCACATGCATCAAGGTTTTGTACAGTGGTTGCCTTATACTTTAAATTTCCCATATGTAAAATTGCTGACAATAGCTTGATAATTTCCCAAAATTCTTCATCACTAAACGATAAAACACTCATCGCAGACTTAATGGCTGTAAACTCATTTGCGTCATTTCTATTTTCACACTTAATGATGCCACCACAAGTAAGATAATTGTATTTGGTTGCATCTTCAAGTTCTAACCTTTTCCTCTCTTCCTTTGATAAGCCTGCTAGCATAGCATAGAATATATGATAGTTCCTCTCGCCTTTACTTGCAGACACAATTCTAGATTTTTCAAGCAAATAATGTTCAATTTTAGCTCCTTCAATAGCTCCCGAATCATTGAAGAAAATGTCAATATATTTTCCAAATCTCGACGAATTGTCATTTCTTATGGTGCGAGCATTTCCAAATGCTTCCATAATTGGATTTGAATCAAGCACCTGTTGTTCGATCCACGAATGCTTTCCGCTCACCGCAGCCAAATATTGTAAAATCAATTTTGTACTCTCGGTCTATGTGGAGATGAAATAAAGATAATTATTTTGTGATTTAATTAAGGAAATTCTATAGTTATACCTTGCCAGCTCCAGACTCACCGGAAATTACAATACATTGATTTCTGTTTTTTGTTCTCATTTCCTTGTAAGCGTTGTTTCCTATTGCGAATATATGAGGCGTAGAATGCATGTGCACGTTTTGGTTCTTGTAGTGATTGATTTCATTATTTGTGTAGATTGGTAAAATTTCGTACGGATTTATAGCAACTAGCATTGATCCTATGTACGTCTATAAATTTTTAAAAATAATAAGGTGATGATTAATTTATGGACGGCTACTTATTATAAATTCAATGAGTTTTAATGGATTAAAGGATTATAGAATTTTATTGTCTTAAGCTTCGTGCGAACTTCTGTCATATCGTCTTCTGATAACCAAAGTCTGATAAATAGACTCTATAAAAGATAGTTTAAAGAAGCTTTAAGCTTGTCTTTTAAAATTCAGTCTTGCTATAAGCATGTTTTAATTTTTTTTTAGATTTTCTGGTATTGAACAGTGGTTCAAATATTGGACGGATAGAATCACCAATCTATGGACAGTTTATTGGATATCCATACTCACATAAATTTCCTTCTTCATGTATCTCATGCACAAATTTCTTAAAATCGTGTGTTCTTCTAGTTCAAATAAAGCTATCATATCAGCTACGGTGTCATTTGATGTTGAGTGCATAGCTTTAAGGATCTAAATATATACATCAAATTACAAACTAGAAAAAAGACACAGATTGCAAATAATGACTTACTTGATTCTTCGTAATCCAAAATTCTTTGCCATCATCATCTGTGACAAGCAATCGATCTTTGTCTGTGCTTTGTATTTTCGCTGCAAATGGCACGTCATACTCTCCATTATTTTTCGTTAAAATGGGCTTCACCCAAACACAATCTTCACCCTTTTTTTTATTATCAATGAAGATGATAAGAGAAAAGCGTAAATTAGCACTTGAGAATTTCCTTTAGTCAATAATTAAATCAATATTTTCAATTTCCATTTCCTTATCGTTTGTGTTGTGCGAAATTGAATTGATAATGGAAATGAAATGAATGAGACGCACTTATCATAGAATTTTTTTTTTCATTAGAATTGATAAGAAACTATTCCACTTATAACGTCATAGAACAAAAATTTCATTGAAATTTGGCCTCAGATTGTTTTATTAATTCAGAAAGTCTTCTCCGATTATTAATTATGAATTGATAAGATTTTTATCTCTATCCAGTCGTGTTCTTATCTGTAAATTTGATAGTCATCGCTGACTTAGAGCTGTCATACACTGAGCACTAATTCAAAAAATTCAGGTTATTATATGTAAATTATGAGCTTAGACAGCTGGAGATGGGTCTAAGCAGGTCCAGATTGACCGAATTTTATTAAAATTTCAACTTTGTAGCTTAATTATTCTTGTCTAAGTGAAGGATAATGACTTATAATAATTCTGATTTAACAACACTGACCCCTACTTTAAGTTTGGCACTGGCAATTAATTAGTCTTATTTGTGCACGCTTTATCAATAAAAAGCTGATTGAATGTTTTTTTTATCTAATTAAATTATTATAATAATTTTTTCTGATAGCACAATTACAATTGTTCACACTGATTCATACCAATTGCACCATATTGGCTTTTAAGGAGATTCCCTGACCCATACAATACTTACATAAATAAACATTTTTTTTTTTCGATAAGATTCGAAGCTATTCCTGTTTTTTATGATAAGATAAATAGACAATTGAAAAGGCACTTGATACTACTGGATTTTATTTTAATTTATTTGCTTTCCATTTTCAACGACTTAATTCCGCGAGCACACAAAGAGGACTGATTCGGGAGTTTCATTACTTACCGGCTCGATGTATTATTATTTTTTATCAGCAATATAGAGAAAATATTTATGTGTCGATAACTGATAACATGATATATTTTCAATGTGTGCGGGACATGAAAGTGTAATTTTAAATGTATTAAGAAATTCTTTTCTTTGTAATAATTTTCTATAATTGGAAATTCCTTGACTTTTTTCATTTTCATTCGTGAGCTTTAAATTTCGTAAGAAACTTGTGAAATTTTGTCTAAAGCTTTTTACGACATTTTGTTCTAATTATTATCTTGTCTTTGTCATACATCTTTTCAACTAATGCTGTACCCGAACATACAATGAGCATGCTCAGAGCACATTATTTGTGAGCCTATTAACCTTTGTGAGAATGTGCTCATTTTCATACATTTCAGTGATGTGCTTACGGTACCTTCTTGAGCATGCTCAGTGAGCACATTCCTATGTGACATGTATTAAGCTCATTGAGTAAACTCATGAGCAAACTCAAATGAGAAGGTAACATGTCACATGCAACATTTTTCTCATGTAACATTTTTTATTGAATATACTTATGAACATTCTCAAAAAGTACATACTTATAAATATTCTCAAAGAGTACATACTCATAAACGTACTCAAAGAATATATACTTAATGAGTATATTTATGAGTATATATCATCGGAGCACACTCATGAGTGCACTCAAGTGAAGTTGCAAAATTCAAAAAATTAATTAAGCTAAATTTGAGTATTATAGGCTAGCTGAAATTAAGTACTGTTCCGTTTATTTCTGTGAATAATTTTGATAGAGTTAGAAATTATTATTAATATTTTATCTGAAATACTTAGAATGAAGCATATAAATCTGGTCACCCATCCTTGTTGAAATATCTTCTGCGTTGCTTAACTTCTGTCATCTCACACTTTTCCTTGGAGCTATTGTCTGTAAATATATAATAACTAGGCTATCCGGAGGCGCCCGTGGCGCCTCTTATCAGGGTTAAAATTTGATTACTATTATGTAAATAACTGTAAGACGCAAATAACCATAATGTTTTTAAGGTCAATCCTACCACAAAACTTCACATGGCTTCACAACCCCCTCAAACTCGGATTTCCTTAATCCCACAAAAATTATAAAAATGACTTCACAAAATTTCACATGGCTTCACAAACCCCCTCGAACTCGGATCCCCTTAATCCCTCAAAAATTTTATAAATGGCTTCACAAAACTTCACAAACCCCTCGAACTCGAACCCCCTTAATCCCACTAAAACTTTATAAATGGCTTCACAAACTCCCTCAAACTCGGACATCCTTAATCCCGCAAAAACATTATAAATAGCTTCACAAAACATCACATGGCTTCACAACCCCCTCAAACTCGGATTTCCTTAATCCCACAAAAATTATATAAATGACTTCACAAAATTTCACATGGCTTCACAAACCCCCTCAAACTCGGATCCCCTTAATCCCTCAAAAATTTTATAAATGGCTTCACAATACTTCACAGGGCTTCACAAACCCCCTCGAACTCGAACCCTCTTAATCCCACTAAAACTTTATAAATGGCTTCACAAACTCCCTCAAACTCGTACTTCCTTAATCCCGCAAAAACTTTATAAATAGCTTCACAAAACTTTAAATGGCTTCACAAACATCCTCAAACTCGGACTCAATCCCACAAAAATTTTATAACTGGCTCCACAAACCCCCTCAAATTCGGACCCCCCCCCCCCAACTGACACCCACCTTGTCAGCACCCCTCACATCATTGGCATCACAAAATATACCTGACACTTCCCTTGCCCCCACCTTGTCACCCCCCCCCCCCCTCCCCTCAACTGACACCCACCTTGTCAGCACCCCTCACATAATTGGCTTCACAAAACATACACCGCCCTTGCCCCCATCCACATTGGCTTCACAAAATATACCTGACACTCCCCTTGCCCCCCACCTTGTCACCCCCCCCCCCCCCCCATTTTAAAAAAACGTCAGCTTCCTTAAAAAATCATTATTTTAACGTTTTCGATTAAGCTGACATTTTTTAAAAAAGGTACACAATTTGCTCTTGAATAAACTCAGTAAGTGCACTCATATGAGAATATAAAAAAAAATTGTGTGACACAGAAGTGAGTTTGCTCATTATATGCTCATGAGTACATTCAGTAAGTGCACTCATATGAGAATATAAAAAAAATCGTGTGACACAGAAGTGAGTTTGCTCATTATATGCTCATGAGTACATTCAGTAAGTGAACTCATATGAGTGAATTCACATGAGTATGTTCTTAATATTCTCAAGAGTATACTTATTGAATGCACTCACGTGAGCTCATAAAGTTTTTGTAAACAAATAAAGTGAGTACATTCGTAATGAACTCCTGAGCATGCTCAGTTGAATGAGCTTGCATGAGTATAATTTTTGAGTAGACTCACTTATATGCTCACTTTTCTGAGCATGCTCTTTGTATGTTCGGGGTACATAGTATTTAAATAGAAATTATTTAGATGTCCATCTGCAAGTGGCTGTTTCAGTTTCTTGCTTTTAAGCAAATTTTCAATTTTATTTTATACTTATAAATCGGAATGGATCAGGACCTATATTGAGCTGCAAAAGATTAAAACAATCTAATAAATCGAACTGTCACATTTCGAGTAAACAATTTCCAACGGACCTGAAAATTTCAAAATTTTGTAACGCTCACTAGAAGGCGTTGCATCAAAACAGAAGAAAAATAAACATTAGGTACATGCTGTAAAAATTCATAAATTTTATTAATTTATCCAGTTAATACAAGTTGATTTTTAGAAATGGCATCTGCTACAAAACAGGGAGCAGCTATGCTTCGAGGATTTGTAAGAAAAACTCGCTTTGATACTGGATTAGGTGAAGAAATTAAAGAAAATTGTAATTGTGAAAAATATTTTTATAGAAAAATCTCTTGAATCTTTTAAGGAGCTGAACTTCCGCCGGCATATAGAAAATTTTGGAAAGAATGGAAGGAACAACAGCCTGCAGCTGTTCATTATGTACCAAAAGAAGGCATGTTTGAGCGCAAAGAAGAAACTGGAGAAGTGCATCCTGTACAAAATGTTCCACTTCCATTAAAATCTGTAGACGAAGAAAATTATGGATTATGGGGCGGTGAAGCAATTATTCAAGGCTTTACTAAAAAAAAGTTAATGTCTCATCGTGTTCCTCGATTTTGGGTCCCAACTCTCAAACGTTCTGTAGTTCGCAGTGAGATTTTGGATGAATTTTTCTCAGTTACTGTAACTGAACGTACTATCCGTTTAATATTTGAGTATCGTGGACTTGATCATTACCTTTTAATGTCACCAGCATGTGACTTACGATCAGTACTAGCATTGAAAATTAAGAGAAGGATTCTTCAAGATATTGTTAAAGGAATTCCAGCTTGGCAGATTAATCCAGAAAAACAGAAAGAGCTAATGAAAGAATACAGAAAATATCTTGATCAATACACAGCAGAAGAAATCGATTGGTACGGATTGACATGGATGGAAGCTATTAACAAGAGACGTAATGAAATAAATGCTGAAAATCCAACAGTTCCTCACAAAATAATTTTCCGTCAAAAGTTAATAGAGCAACTTCGAGAAGCTGGAATTAAAGAAGTTACAGGAGAAATGGAAGATACAAAGGACACATCGTGGTTGAAACGACTAAATCCATTTGCGAAAAAGGAATTTTAGGAAGCAACAATTATAGGAACTATGTAGTATAACAAATTATTCGTGAGCCATCTTTCAGGAAAAATTTATTAAAAGTAAATTAGACACAAGAACCAGCAATGAAATAAAACAATTAGTCTTATTTGTTTATGATAAAAATACGTGTTGTCCACTTATTTATGTGTTTATTCCTACATGAAGTCTATTACAGCTATTACATAAAATTTAAGTAACATTCACGATTACATGAATGCTTACAGGATGTAAAATAAAAAAAAAAAATGACATAAGTTATTGAAAAAATGTATCTTATCACATAATCGAGCCGCACAGGAGTTAAATTATTATTTGGTTGGTAATTTCAATGCAGCTAGTTGCAAGACTTGTGAATTGGGTAATCAGCAAGCATTTTGTATGCGGACATACTTTATTTTTTAAATATCCTGCAATCCTTAATATCAAATAGAAACTTTTCTTGGAAATACTAAGCAGCTCGATCCATACATTGAGAAAATGGCATTAAGCATGTTTTTAAAAGATTCGTAAAATGGTTAATTAATAATAATGTTTAATATAGATTTAATTAAATTCACGATCAGTTAAAACCATCGGAGCAATTAATGACCAGCCATACAGTGCAATACCAAGCCATGAAGAAACTACTTTAATCCACATTGATGCAGCATTTGCGTTCATTGACTCCAAAGACGATGAATTTGGTCTGTGGATGAGAAAAAAAGAAAAGTTTAAATGCGATACTCATGAGACACTTGCAGAGTTTGAACTTACTGATACCAATTTGTAAGTGTCATCATAACGTATAAAGTGGCAGCAACAAATGTCAAATGGAAAATTGACCATGAATATGCGACTTTATCTTCTTCATTGTCCCAAACTTTATCTTCCGAGTTGTTGCTTGGTTTTTCATCTTCATTTGAAAGGGTAGCTGTTATTAATACTAAATTTTATTACAACGAAAACAAATTGTGTTATTCTTAAAAAAGTTATGAAGCGATATTATTTTTAAGCCCCACAAATATAGCATAAATGTTAAGATTATGAATGCATGACGAACACAATTTGTTAGTAAATTCAAAACTATTTCATACAAACCTTGACGCTCTGGATCTGAGCCTGAAAGTGATGAAACAGCACTGGCAGAACGTAATGACGAATACAAAATACAGAACAACCAAATAACCAAACCTACAATGCTAGTTTTATCAAATGTTTGATTGTTTGCATCAGATCCACCACCCAATAAATTGGGATTACATGTCTTGTTTGGATTATTTGAAACTGCTGACCATGTCAAGTAAACAACATATAAAGTGACAACGGCACTTTGCAATAATCCACTTCGTGGTTGGGCTTCTTGGACGCGTGGAGTAATTGAAAGGACACTAACAGCAACACAAAGAATCATATTGAATGAAATAAAGAATTTGTTCAATGCGCAATCATCAGATTGTGTATATACGCTATACAAGATAATGATTCCAGCAAGAGCGGCAATGTATTGAAGTGCCGTTGCAGACAACAAAGCTATAAACCATCCACGACTTTGGGTCTCTTCATAATTTCCAACCCATTCATCAGCCCAGTGATGGCCAAAATCAACGAGAAGTATAAGCTGAATAATGATAAACGAAAATCCTCCAATTAATCCTATCCACATCATCCAAGATCCAAAAGAACCGTCTTGAATGAAGAATGCACCGATAGCAATTGCAATTACAATCAAGAATTTCAATCCCCAAAAGCCATTTTGTATTGCAGCTCGTCCATCTTTGGAAGATCTAACACCAATCATTATGATAGACATTAAAAAGAAGAAAGCAGCTAGTGCAAAACCGATTCTATAAACTGCTAAATATCCAACTGCATGTTGACAATCGAAAGTGCTCGAAGCAGGAATTACGTATGATGTTGTTGACGTAGAATTTGCACAAAACGGAACCTTCTTTAATATATCTTGTAAACCATCAGAAAGCATCAAAGCACCAGTCGCGGCTCCAAAAAGTAAGAGTATTGCGTACATTATTCTTGATGATGTAGAATTTTTACAGGATGGACATGCTGAGCATATACAACTTGCAGCCGATGCAGTGCAACAGCAAGCGAGCTAAAAGTGTTCATAATAATATTATGAGTCATTTAAATTGTGATAATTAGATTAAATCCATAAATAAAGAAGATGAGGAAGTACAGATAAAATGAATCAATAAAATTTTTCTTTGTTGTTCGAGACGTAAATTCAAAATTATTACCTGTGCTGCAGAAAATATCCCCAAAATAGCTCCCATTTCAATGTTTTACAATAGTTCTAATTTGACTAGATCGCTAATGTAATAGATTTGAAGTCAAAAGTGTCTCTATGATCTTAAAACTGAATTATATATTAATCACAAAAAATTTCTAATATTATTTTCACTTGAAGCGTTGCTTTAAAAATTTGGATTTCGAAAATCCGTTGGGTTAAAAAAATGTTAAGGAATTTCAGGAATTAAGTTAATTATTTACTATGACTGTATTTTTATTATTAATCAGTAGTAAAGTTAATAACAAGAAAAAAATGAACAAAAAAGAGGCTAAGTTAGTTTAATCACGTGACAAAGCTAGTTGCACCAATGGAAGTACTTTAATTGAGGATAAGTCTGCAAGTACTGCCTCAATGCTCTCAATTGTGGATACTTGCATGAGACTTTCTTTGCGAAAACTTAATATTATTATGGCTAGTAACGAAAGGATCTCCAAAGAGTCATATCCAAGGATGAGATCCCAGAGTATAAGCAATTCCTGTGGATGCAAATGTCCACTGAATGCTCGCATAAGCCATTTGAAAACCACACGAATCCTAAAAAGATTTAATAATGGTAAGAAAAATTTACAGAGCTTTAAATTCATCTTACGGTTGAATCTGCAATTCTCTAAAATGAGACCATAAAATTGGCTCATGAGTTTGAAGGAGCTTCTCAAATAGCAGACAAAGACTCACGATTCCTTGGTTGTGAGTGTTGATTGTTGTTAATCTATGGCAATAACGAACATAGAAAGCTCTAAATGTATAGTACAGAGCAATCGGCGAGTCAAAAAGATAGCAAAATGGGGAAGCAAACATGCAGATCCCATGAAATGGAACAATATTATTTGGTGGTGTTTCATATTGCTTTAATTTTGAGGTATTCAGCCAATCAGTTTTAATCATGTCAGCAATTTCTGAATCACGAGAAAAGCACAGCATAACTTGGTAAATGACATCCTCAAAAACAAAATATTGATCATCATTTGTTGCTGTTAATTGCACGTCTTTAAACACTAATTTATCAACAATTGAGTCCGTACTAAGGACGGTTGTCTTCAGTTGATCCCAGTATTCTCGATGCTAGAAATAAATAAAACAACAAATTGAATTTACATGGAAGGATGAATTTATAAATAACTTACATGTTCCTCCAATTCACTTCCAAGAACAATAGACCAGATCTTCCCTCGAAGTTGTGTTGGTGTCAATCCTTTCTTCAAAATCTGTTGACAAAGTGGAGCATGGCGAGTCGTAAGAATCCTTTCACATGTTACTGACCAATCAGTAACAGTCATTTCATTCCTTAAAAGCTCAGAAAAGACTGTTCGAAGTTCTTGTAGATTTCTTACAGGCAATGATATGTGAGAGAATTCCCAACGAGGAATGACACCATCGTCATCATGCTTCTGACTTGCTGGGCCTTTGAGTGATATAAGAACTTCAAGGAGATCTTTTGGAGCATACACGGGTCGATAATTTGATAAATCAACTTGAAAATTGCTCAATTCTGCCCATTTTGCTTGTAATTCCTCCTTTTCTTGTTGGTTCCTTACTTGACCTTGTAAAGTCGTTTTTAATTCTGCACTCATTGTATTTAATGACTTCCTGACTCTTCTTTCCCACTGAACACCAGCACGTCTGAGGTAATTTAAAGGGTCCGTCTATGACAAAACAAAAAATTAATACTCGAGCCTTTCGTAACAGGCTAGTTGTGACTTACAGCTTGCATTGAAAATTTTACATCGCTCTTTATAGATGTCCGAATCAAATGAAAAACTATATTTCGTATTTCTGTTTCAAGACCATGCTTTTTCATTGCTAGCTCCAATGTGTTTTTCATGTCATCTTTGCATACCTCAGGTGAACATGCTAGTTTCTAAAAAAAATAAAAGTAAAAAGTGAGTGAAATTTCCTGTTGCTGGTGTGAAATGAATTTAGAACTAGATTAGCATTGAATGCGATTAAGTGGCGCATTTTTATACTCCATCTTGTATAAAGGAGTGCTTAGATATCATGCACAATTGGCGCATATCAAAAAATTGCAAATTTTGGAACCAAAAATGTCTATGCTTTTATAGTTGATGAATATTACATATTTAACATTTAATAGCAAGATAACGTTTATGAAGGACCTGATTTTCAAATAAGACAAAATCTTAAACTTAAAGCCTTATTTTTATTGGAGATTATTCTATAAACCGGAAAGAATATTTATTAGGTACACTGGAATAACAAACACTGCATGAATCGGTTAGCACATTATCAAAAGGTGTTTACGGCATTGCAAAATCTGAACATACTGACAAAACATTCTTTAATATAGCGAATGTTTAAAAACCAACCGAAAAGTATTGACACTTGAGGCACTTCATGGTCATGTGTTAAAAACTAAATTTAAATGCAAAAAACTATACCTGAACAGTTTTATAAAGATTATTGTAGATTTTCATTTGCTTCACATCCTCTGAGAATTTCAGTGCTGTGTGGTGAATTGAGCTTTCTCGTAGTTCCTCCATAATTTTGCAATGGAATTTATATTAATATTTTTTTATGGAATATTTCTAGCGATTATCCCTTCCTTTCTTCTTATATGCTCGCGTTAAATGTATAGTTTTGTGTCATTTACGAAAGTTTTTTTTTGCTGAGAGAGTTTTATAATAACAATAATATGTTAACGATTTACATGAAAGACAAATAAATTAGAATAAAAATAAGTAAAAATGCAAGAAAAATTGAAATTGAAAAAGAGAAAAAGTTTTTCAATATCTGGAATGCGAGAAAATAATAAACAAACTTTTTCAAGTGTCATGACAACCTACGATTTAATGTTAAATTATTACCGACTACCGTTGTAGGCAATATACATATGTGGGCCCTAGGGGTGAGAGCTCCTTAAAAAGTGCAAAAATTTATTGAAAAATGCAATAAAGTGCTTCAAAGTAGAATAAAATTGAGAAAAGTGCAACAAAGTAGAATGAAGTAGAGTAAAGTGCAATGAAGTGTAGCAAAGTTGAGCAAAGTGCAATGAATTGCAACAAAGAGCAATAAAGTGCTGTAAGTGCAGCAAAGTGCAATACAGTACTGAAGGTGCAGGCAAAGTAGACCAAAGTGCAGCCTTTTTTGGGCCTATTTGGGCCTAAAACCTGAAAATATATAATAGTTCTCATCTAGTTTTATAATTTTGTTTGGAAAATGATTTATTTCACTGTGGAACATCTTTAAATTTGGGATAGTACTGCACTTTCAATGCACACGATGTTTTTTGCTTTATTTCCTATGTACTTTGTTGCATAAGGTGCGCGAAGTTCGTTTACCGCACCATAAATTCTTCAGTTTTCACTTTTATAAACACTTTAAGGGTGGCAACTATTTATTATTTTTAAAGTTGTTTCCAAGTATGTTTTAAATTAGTAAAGATAAGTCAGCTAAAGGTTGTGCCTTGTTAAATTAATTAATTTTTTTTATAAATTACAACAACAAAGTGCGAAGTTCGTTTAGCCGCACTTTGAAAATATTAAAATTTTGAGCTGTAAACGTTATTTATTGTACTTATTCTATTCTTAAAGTATTTGAGCAACAAAAATCTATGTTTGCAGACAGTTCCAGAATTTTCCATTAAGTTTTTCACGAGATTTTCCTTCATTTATTTTGTCATACTGAAAATATCTTCAAAATTAATTTTTGCTGTTATTTTTCATGAAACTGTAATTGTTTTGTCTAAATTAGGTAGAAAATGGTTTAAAGTATTAAATGAATCACTTAAGTCTTCATCTTTAATTGGTTTTAGGACAAAAATTTGAGAAAAATATGTTTGAGGTGAAAATTTTTCACCACTTTGTTATAATCATTAACAACTTTTGACAAAACTGTGCATATCATATGGAATTTGAATAGCCTACCGTATTTATCATATTAAACTTGACATAAAACAGAAAACTGCATAGTTCTACGACTAATAGAACTTGAAAATTTTATGAAAGATTTAGGTTGTGGTGAAAAATTTCCACATAGAAAAAATAAATTTCAAAAAAACCTGTATTAAGCTGTTGCTTCATTTCAATAAAGTTAAAACAGTGTTTCCTTAAGAAGAAAAATTAAAAATGATCATTGAAAACATCCTTAAAGTGTTTATAAAAGTGAAAACTGAAGAATTTATGGTGCGGTTAAACGAACTTCGCGCACCTTATTACAAACCTTTTTTACGCTTTGTCATTGTAAACTGGAGATCGCAGCAGTTTTGTTCAATTTTAAAGTGTATTACTAAACTCCGTTTTAGAATAATTTACTTCATTGCTTTTTTTGAGAAATTTGTAAGGAACCCAATATACAATAACCTCTTAAAAATTTGCTGAAAAGAACATTGAGTTCGAAAATTTCAAATTTAACTGGTGTATCGGGTAGAAACCCAATGCGGATATATTCACACCGTACCATCAAAAGTCTTATGTACAGACCAAGATTTGGTCTGCATAAGTTTGAAGGTTTAAAGCTTAACGAATATGCCAAACATTCTTTAAAAAATTTAAAAAAAAAATTTCATCCAAAGTTCAATTTTATTAAAATCACATTAACCTTTGGTTTTTAAAAATCGTAAGAAAGGAAAGTTTTATGTTTTTTCTGAAGTAATGGCTGTTTCTGCCATTCCCAAAAACTAATCAGTTCTTTTATAGAGCAACACGAATCGATTGCAAAATTTGATTGTTTGCTTGCTTACGGAAAATGAATTTTGCGATTTTCTCAACAATGCCTTAATCAATTTCAATTCTGATTTTTGATTACTATGTAAAACTGAAGGCACAAACTTTTTGATGCGGATCTTGATTTATCTTTATGCATTGTTTTCCCGAAAACTAGTTTTGCAATCTGATCAAATACGTGTTGATTTATGGAAAATGCATTTTTTTCTCAAAAATCATATCAAAAATGTGAAAGTCTTCTAATATTGCATTTATTTCGACATTTTTCCTTACGTTTTAAGATATTCATTAATAATTGAATTACAGTAGGTTTTTAACAGTTTAAGCATTTTTAATGCTTTACAAATTTAAATTTTTGATTTTTGAACTTTTTCAATATTTTTAAAGACAAATTTATTATAACCAGTCATTATTAATGGCTCTTTTCTTTTAAAAAATTAATATAAATAGATTAAAAACATTAATATTAATATTATTAACTGAATAATTTGTGCAAAAAAGCACTGTAAAGTGCAATAAAGTAGAATAAAGTCGAGTAAAGTGCAACAAAGTAGAATGAAGTAGAGTAAATTGCAATTTGGTGCAGCAAAGTTGAGTAAAGTGCAATAAAGTGCAATAAAATTTGCTATAGTACACCAAAGTACTGTAATTGCAATGAATTGCAATAAAGTTTAGCCAAATTGCAATGAAATGCAATGAGTAGAGAGGAGCCCTCACCCCTTTTATTTAAGTAAAGACAGTTGTGATTAATACTGAGAATAAATCCTACTAGCTTTACAATCAGTCTTATTTTATAATCATTATATTCATCCTTTCAATTATTTTTAATTACTTTTTCTCGGAACATTCGTGTTTGTGTCAAATGGACTTGAAGAAATCAAGACACAAAAAATAAAGAGACAGAGTCATTTAAAAAGACAATTGAGTATCAATGACATGAAATTGTGAGAATCTGCAACGAACGAAAGAAGACGAGCATCCTAAATTATGAATCAATAACTGATCCTGATTCGATTCGATTCTGAAGATAAACACAAAAAGACCAGCACTGCTTCCGACAACAATAACTGAAAAATAATTACGTTCCATTTAAATTCTTTAGAGAGTTTTGATTTTTAACTTAGTTTATTCTTTTACTGCATGAACACATTATGAAACACAAAAAAAATCGAAACTTATTATGATTTCGTACATTAAGCCAATTAACCAATAGGTAGCTTCCGTTCTGTTATTTTGACGTCTTCAAATCAAGTTGATGGAGTTTTCTTGTGTTGTCATTTTTTTTATCTTCACGTGTTTACCATTCCTCTTCTTTCTTGTGGCTTTCTTAAATGTTGATGACTCCAATTTCTTCTTCTGTTCCTCAATAAACTCTTTCTTTAGAGTTGCTTTTAATTTTTCATCTTGATTTCCTGTAATTTCTTCTTACAAGAATTGTTGAACATACTGCATTTGTAATTCACTCTGAAACAATTAAGTTAATGTGGAACTTCTGTTAAAAAAGCCTTTCAGCTTCATTCAAACAATCAAAATTCTCCAAACCGAAAATTCATGAAAAATTAAAATATCAGCAACCTATGAAAAAATATTCTTCATTATAAAATTTCGTGAAAATACACGGTGCAAAAACGAAAATTAAAGGAAATTCAACAGAACAGCAACAATCAAAGTATCAAACAGCAACTGAATCAACAGAAGCAACTGTTATGTCATCAGAAATATCAAAAGGAGTATCAACGGAAACGAAAATAGAAAGATCGAAACAACAATCAGCAGAAGAAGCGGAAATTTCAACGCAAGGATCGAAACAACAATCAGCAGAAAGAGTTGAAATCTCAACGGAAGGATCGAAACAGTAAGGAGCAACTGAAGGACAGGAACGAGCATTGGAAGGATCAGAAGAAGGAGCACAGGAAGGAGCAGACGTAGTAGAAGAGGTAGTAGCAGAAATAATATCGGCAGCAACAGGAGAAGCACCGGAATCAACTGATCCTACAAGCGATGGAGACAATTACGAGCCGAAATTTAAAGAAAATCCGCAAGACTACCTCACATCACAATCAACAATGCCAACCAGGAGTGAAGACCTGCCATATGATCCAACTGTTGAGGTAAGTTACTTTCTTCACATAGGAGACCGAATCATCTAGGTCGAGAGTGATTTAGTTATGAACAAGAGGTTAAGTAACAGAATAAATCTTTAAATTAATATTCTTTATCTTGTCTTTTTCAGTATAAGAAACAGAAGCTTACGAACCTGTATCGCGGTTTTATGACATTCTATGCTGACGAATCGGACGAGTTAAAAATTAAATTCGTCCATTATTTGAAATTGAGCGACAACAACAAATTTAGACGACTCATCAATAATTTCAAGATAAGGAATCCAGTTCTTTGCGAGCGTATTGAAAAATATTTCATCTGGTAGAAGCTTTGGAAATTTACTGTAAGGTGTGAGGGGGTAGGGGTTGGGATGTGAGGGAATAGGGGTTGGGTAAGCGAGGGAGTATAGATTGGGTAGGCGAGAGGAGAATAAACAAATCTATCTGGGAGTTGCGCCCCATTGACGCCAAGGGAATGGTGTGGGTGATTGGGTGAGGGGTTAGGGGTGATTGAGTGAAGGATGATTGGTAGTTTCATTAACGTAGAGGATTTTTCTTTTTAATAATCTGGACATGAATGAATTTCAATGGCGCGTTCGAGTTTTTTATATAATTTTTATCGAACGAGGCTTATCCTCTATAAAAAGGGCTTTGAACTTTTCAGAAATTAAAAGAGGGTGATGAGGGTAGGCTGTACAAAAAAAAAACATTACTGTCAATCCGTTCGTATTATTCTGTTTATTAATTCATTTCTTTTTCAGCTCTTATTTTTTTTGTATTCGTGAATTTTTCGTGAAACAAATACTTCCGGGCCGCTGAGAGTCATAACAAGATCTTTGCACAATAAATCCTGAACGTGAGCTCTCT